CAAGGGAGGAGGTTGAACCTGGACAGATAGTCCGCCCAGGTTCGGCCGGGGTTAAGGTGGATTATCACTTAGACAATTTCGCAGAAAAAGAAAAGCAAAGCATGAGAACAAGGGAGGAGGTTGAACCTGGACAGATAGTCCGCCCAGGTTCAACCGGGGTTAAGGTGGATTATCACTTAGACAACTCCGCAGAAAAAGAAAAGCATGGCTGTTTTTTCACTCGGGGGGAGGTTGAACCTGGACAGACAGTCCGCCCAGGATGCAATTGCCTGATGGATGGATGGGTGGATAAGAACGCGCACCACATTGCCCAGAGTTAGCGATATCCTTCCTAGAGAGAGAGAAAGGGATGGTCACTGTTCTCGTGGGCAGACAAAAAAAAAAAAGGAATAGGATAAAGGAACTGATGATGACTAATATCGGGGGGAAATCCCAGGGTGTAGATTAGAATACATTTTATTTAATTATTTATTTATTTATGTACTTGTTTATTTATTTATTGATTTTCTGTGCATATACCTCTTACAGATTTGAAGTATTATTGGTCGTGGGAGGAGTAGGGATTGTAGAAATCACAAGTAAAGCAAGCGCGGCTACGCCCGCACAAATGCAAAAACAAGAAAAAGGAACGCCGTCTAAATGTACTCCCTCTCTCTCTCTCTCTCTCTCTCTCTCTCTCTCTCTCTCTCTCTCTCTCTCTCTCTCTCTCTCTGTGTCTGTGTGTGTGTGTCCGCCTCTTCATTTCCATCTTTCAACTTGTGCCCTCCATCCCCCCTTCCGATCTTTCCTCCACCAATCAGCTTTTCCCCATCCTCTGTTCTCTGTCTCCTGTCTCTTTTGCCACTATCTTCCCATCTCTCTCTCTACCCCTTTCTCCCCTCCCTTGACATCCTCTTCGAGCTCCTACTCCAATACTCGACGCGGCCCCTGCGGATCTGGTATGTCTTCCCCCTCTCTCTCTCTCTCTCTCTCTCTCTCTCTCTCTCTCTCTCTCTCTCTCTCTCTCTCTCTC